CTTCGACCTTCAACGATAACTGTCGTTTGAATGTTCCTAGGAGTGAATGTGATGATGACGATGATGATGATGATGATGACGATGATGTGATGATGATGATGATGGGATGATGATGAGATGATGATGGTGAAGGTGAGGATTTTTTTAAATTTTATGTAATAAAACCTGCCAGCGTCAATTAATTATTCAATTTACTTATCATGACATCATACACTCAGACATCGATCATTCATTCATTTATTTTTTCATTCATTTATTTTTCATTCCTTCACGCATCCGTCCATCCATCTATGAACCTTCGTGCGGGTTATCAGAAGTAGTAACAAATGAACTCTGCCTCTTCAAAAGGTCAGGAGGTCCACGAGGTCTTTTGATGGAGGTCAAACTCGTGACGTCACTCCTTTTACTGCTGGGAATTGGTTCTGAGGTGAAGATTTTTTTTGTTATTTGTATACAAATACACTACAAACGTGTTTCTAGAAAACAGCATTCAGTTTCAAAATTGATTTTACAGGTTAATTACATCATAAAAAAAAACAATCTACATTAAAAACTTATTTTAGTAATAAAAACCCTGGATCAAATTCATATCTACAGCTTACTACATTCTTGAAAAGAAGCCAACGAACCGGCGACTCGAGCCACTTGCGGATCGCACTTCCTGTCGGTCATCGAGGCAAACTTGAAGGACGGCGACCTCTTAAATTCTCCAGTGGCCATTTCGATCTGCTTCTCCTTCGCCAGCCTCAGCTCCATGCACACGTTGAATGCGTAGCCAACCGCGTAACTTACTCTTTCACCCTGGTTTATTTATTTCATGTTTATCTATTTTTTTTGTAAACTTATCCATAATTTATTCATTTAAAAAAACAACAACACAATAATAATAATAAATAATAATAATAATTATAATAATAACTGACCACGTCTTTGATGGTCAGAAAACCATGGCACATCCATTTCTTGGCCAGGCTGTCTCGACTGATGTAGGCGAATCCCTTTTCAGTGTTGCGGTCAGGCGAACAGAAAGCAACCTTCTCCACCGGCTGGTCTATAATTATTTCCTGTTTGTTTGTTTGTCTGTTTGTTTGTCTGCTTATTTGTTTGTTTGTTGTTTGTTTATTTGTTTTACCATTTCGCCATTCGACTATCTTTTGGTCATTTTTTTCAATCAATCGGTCGGTCGGTCAGTCAATCATTCGTTGAGAGATTCATTCACTGATGAATTATTTTATTCACGTATTCACTTTTTCACTCATTCATTCACACACTCATTCATTCATTTACTCATTCACTCATCCAATCAATCAATCAATCAATTCAACAAACACTTAAAAACTAACGGATGTAGCCTCATCGATGCCCTTCAAAAATTCCCCCTTGACCTGCAAGATGACCATTTTAGGAGCTTGACCTTGACATTGCTGATATTATTATTATTATTATTAATTATAATTAATATAATTGTTATTATTATTATTATTATCGCCATCATCATCGAGACTAACTTGCATCAACTTCTTCATAGCCTCTTCGCAGACTTGGATGCCTTTGGAGTCGTTTACTTCAGTGCAACCGAGGTACTACAATGAAAGTAAAAATAATAATATCATAAATACATACAAACACACATACACACAAACACACATACACACACATACATACATACATACAATGCACGACTAGCCAAGGCTGGACTGATTATTCTACATTTAATGTACACAACACATAAGATCGTTTAAGATGTTTATGCATGTGTTGTATATGTGTGTACGTGTCGGTGTATATGAATTAGCTGTACACCCAAGGGTATTGTACGCCTAAAACAAATGTACACATACATATGTTTGTGGCATTTGTATCGCGAAATAGAAATTTATCGATAAAATTTTGAGACCATAACAACAGCAACAAAAACAACAACAATCACAACGGTATCGAAGTCAATGACGTCAGCAACAACAACAGCAGCAGCAGCAACAACAATAATATCTACAACAGCAAAAGAGTTGTCTCCAATCTCTTACAACTCAACACGTGCTAATGAGTTTTGCCCGAATGAAATTTTTTTTCGCCTGCGTTTCTATGGTATTGGCTTCATGATTAAAAGATGGAAAGAAATAAGAATAAGGCATCTAGATATATTACCTTTACTACTACTACTTCTGCTGCTGCTACTACTACTACTACTGCTACTGCTACTGTTACTACTACTACTACTAGAGAGAGAGCGCTTCTGAAGTAAACTCATAAGAAGCGCCATACAAATTCTACAATACAATACAATACTACTATATATATAAGATTACACAATAAAATGTACTAACTTGTAGTAGAAATTGGCAAGTGCCATTTCTAACTCTCAGCTCGTCCTCTTGCCAATCATCTTCATTCTCCTTGTCCTCTTCCTCATCACTGTTACCTCTCTTTTTACGAAGACTGAATGTTTTTTTTAATTTGTTCATTTAGTAGTAGAAGCGGTTGTTAGTAGTTGTGGTGTGGTGTGGCTCTCGTTGGAGGCGTGTGGCTCTTGTGGCTGACGTTTTTGTTGATGTCTCGACTAATGCTGCTTGTGAACTTGTTAAATAGACATTCTTAGGATGGCCAATGGGCGTTTGTTAGTTTTTATTCAATTAAAGAGGTTGATTTCATGGTTCTGAAGTTAATCGAGGTTGATGTGGCTGTGGTTGTTGTGGTCGTTGTGGTTGTGGTTGCTGTGGTCGTTGTGGTTGTTGTTGTAAAAAGTACCCAGTCTGGAAATAAATTTAAATAAACAACGAACTATAATAACAATAAATAAGTCCAATTGAAACCGCTATTTAAATTTTCAAGGTAAAAAAAATTGAAACATTTTCCTCTTTCCAAAATGTTACCACACCGCCACCACCACCACCACTGTCGCTCGTCAACATCGTCCTCATAAGCATAACCTTGTTTGTGTCAAAATTTCCGTACAAATACATGGATACTTGGAGAAAATGTTGAGACTGGAGGCGACATGTACATAAGTATTTATGCCGGTATGTATGTATGCATGTATGTATGTATGTATGTATGTATGTATGTATGTATGTATGTATGTATGTGTGTGTGTGTGTGTGTGTGTGTGTGTGTGTGTGTGTGTGTATGTATGTATGTATGTATGTATGTATGTATGTATGTATGTATGTATGTATGTATGTATGTATGTTTGTTTGTTTGTATATATGTATGTATGTTTTTGTATGTATATTTGTATACACGAATGTATGTATTCACCACAGCCTTCCAATAGTAAGAGCGATCGTTATTCGTATGCAATTGCATACGTATGTAGGTTTGCGTTAACGTAGTATATGTGCATGTTGTGTGTGTGTGCTGCATTGTAATCATCGTTCTCATCGTCTTCATCATCCTCATAATCCTCATCATTATCCTTTAAAAATAGCATCACGGTGATATAGAGCAGCTCCTAAAACGCTGTTACATCCCAGTGTATACATACAACAACATACATACATACACAAAAACACACACACACACGCATACATACATACCATGTATGCATTCATTGATATTTTTAAGAGATCTGTTTTGTATCAAATAATATTTCTGTCGTTATTTATGAGTTTATTTTAAATGATTGATTTTTTGTATTTTGCAGTTTAAATTACAATTTGTTATACTTTTATTATTATTATTTCATCAAATATTCATCGAAATTTGTAATAAAATTACCAGAATCAACAGAATAATACATGTTAAAAAAGGAACAATTTTTTTCACATAAATTCACTTTTAGTTTTCTTTGAATTGTCAAAAGCAAATTTTCAACTATAGTCACATGAACCTTAACATCTTATCACAATGTTTAAAAGTCTAATCTTTCTATTTCTGCGACGTTTTTCCTTTAATAATTCTTCCTCTAGTCGCAAATAAAGTTGTATTTGTTAAATTTATTTATGAAAATTCGTAAGTTCACTTCACTTTTTTGCAAGAGACTGTTTGCTGTTTATTACAATGTAATAATTACATTTAAAATTACAATTACATTTCATTGCAATTATTTATTAATTATTTTTTATTTCAGTTTAGTTAGGTTTGGGTTAGTAGCTAATTTTTGTTACAAATTTTTGTCCACTCTAGCCACTTAGGAAGAAGAAACAAATGGATGTAAATTCACTAGAAGTAAATGTCACAACACTAATAAACTGGCAAGATGCATTGCAAATACAAACTTCCACTCGACCTTCCGCTTCTGCCATCGACTTGCCAGAAAACTTACTCAGAAACGGACATTATGACAAGTCACCGTTCCCGTTAGATGAAAAAATTAACCAAAAAATAGCATTCTGGGTTGGTAATGTTTGGCTGCTGAACGCCGACGCAATTGTCTGCTGCAACAATGAAAATTTCACTTCAAAAACAGATTTAATCACAAAACACACACTTATAAGAGCTGGTAAAGATTTAATAGTGGAATTACGACAAACTGTGAGATACTGCAGAACAGGTGAGGCCAAATTAACGTCTGGTTACTTGTTGCCTGCATCTCACATCATCCACACAGTCAGTCCAAAGTATAGTCACAAATACACAACTGCTGCTGAGACGTCGCTTCACAATGCATACAAAAATGTTCTGGTTCTTGCACGAGACAATAACATTCGGACATTGGGGCTGAGGTGCATTCATTCATCTGTCTGCAGGTACCCACCATTCCTCGGGGCAAATGTTGCCCTTCGAACTATTCGTCGATTTTTAGAGAAGTGGGGAGACAAGTTCGACAAGATCGTGTTGGCAGTTTCAAACCACAACAAAGAGGCTTACAGTGCTTTGCTTCCTCTATATTTTCCAAGAAACAATCAAGAAGAACTGGCTGCAAAGTATCAACTGCCACAAAATGTTGGCGACGTAGATGGACAACTTTTTTTGGAAGAACGACAGATTCGAATCTCAGCCAATCCCATCTGCACAAATTTAGTGAGGAATATAAATGAAGCAGAGCTGTACAGCGATGAAGAGGACAGGAGCAGTCAGGACAGATCGAGTGGTGGCTTCATAAGACAGCAGGTGCATTTGCATTGATTGCATATTTCACTTTTATTTGCTCTTATCTACCAAATTTTTTTTTTGTTTAATTTCAGTTCAGAGGCATAAATGAATCATTCATGAAAGCCAAAGAAAATGTTGACAAGGAAAGATTGAAGAGACTACAGACAGGTGGAAATCAGATGATCTTAAATAAGCAGCCAATCAGGAAAGAATTCTACAAACGTCTGCTAATCAGAGCAAAGAAAGAGGATTTCACTGATTTTATTAGAAGAAGGTGGTGTTTTTATCTAATTGTTCCTAATTCAATCATTTCATTTTATTTGGACATTTGCAAGTTATCCTTATTAAGCTACTATGAAAAAATTACCTACCAATCGACCCAAATTAGGTTCATATATCAGTCAGGAGTCGATAGGGAGGGAAGAGCGGTTGTTGTTTTCCTCGTCCAGAGGTGGAGAGCCTTGATTGAGGATCAACTGATGGGGCGTCATCACACACGTCGCCGACATAGCTTCGTCTACCAGAGCATGCCTAATCTTAATGATAATCCTAATCTCTCAATCGGTTGGCGAATTTTGATTCTTTGGTATTATTGCTTCATTGTAAACACTTTTCAATTTTCGTCACAGCTTCCTTGACGTCGTCACTACCTCCTGAAATTAGTGAGCTGCATCGATTATTTTTCATCAGTCAGTTGGACCCCATAGTCGATCGGCCGTACGTCTTCATCTACGTCCATTCGCTGTCCAACAAGGACGATCTATTACCTTCTAACAAGTGCATGCAGGCCTTGCTGGGCATGTTGCATCCAAAGTTAGTTGCTATTACTAATTAGTGTTTCAGTGTACATTTTTATACGTTGCGTGTTTGTATAATTATTTCATTCTCCTCTTTCAGTATTTTGCATTCATTTTGATGAATAGCAAATTTTGCACCGACCTAACTACTCCATGCAGGTACGTGACAAACCTGAATGCCTTCTACATCCTACATAGCACGCTCATCAACAAGATTAAAAGTTTCTTCAAATTTCCGTCGGAGCTCTACGATAGGACGACGTTCGTGAAGGGGGTGGAGCATTTGTATTCACTGGTCAGTCCCGACCAATTAGAACTGCCTGGGTTTGTCCTTGCACATGATCTGGACCTTTACGGAGTTAGATATTACGAACCAGACTCTAGAAACTTCCTGAGGATTTGAAATATATCCAGAAGACAAGTCAAAAAAATTGAAATTTTGAATGGATTAAAAGACTAAGTGCCTATTTACTATCATTATAAACATCACTTACTACTATTATTACTACTACTACTGTTGTCGCTCTACTGCCACTACAATTATTATTACCACAGCTGCCACCGCTGCTAATACTTTAATGTTTTACTGTTACCAAAGTAGTAACTTTATAAAAAAAAATCTATTACTACTGTATATCTCTTTAATTATGTTAACATTTAAAAAGAAATCTCTCCCGAATTGAATTTCAATGTCTTAAAACGTATTACATTATATATTTTGCTTAGTTTTGAAGAATTTTTTTTAATGTGTTTCTGTGTTTTTCAATTAGTTTTTCCATTTTTCTCCGACACAAACATTGTTTTGCAATGGCATTTTTTAAATTAATGTTTGGATGCATCTCTAGTTTTGTTGAATTCTTGTTTCTACTACAATTAATTTATTGTCTTGTGTGTACATAATCATTATTTTGTGACTAAAGAACAGTTAAATATCTATGAACAGTTCGTCTCTCTCACTATTACATAGTCTTTTGTTGCAATTTCGTGAATAAACTCAACGTTTTTTGAATTTTTTCAACATAATAATGACAACGAAATGAAAATAAATTATAAATTAATTTAATGTAAAATTTATGACGTAGTCGAATTACTAAAAATAAAACATTACTTATGGGCGTGATGGCTCAATGGTTAAAGGCGCCTGGTCTTGCTATTGCAGTGACTGGGTTCGAATACAAAGAGATTCCCGCCTATCATATGCAATGTGTGTGATGCGTGGTTTGCACGCGTATTCATAAACGCTGTGTGTGTTTGTCGTTGAAACCTCTGAAGCAAACGCAAAAGAGAGAGAAAAACCTTTAACCTTTTATGATGATACATATTTTAATTCATAACTCCTCCCAATCTTTATTCAAAGAATTCCTTTTATTTACAAGAAGATTTGAGAGAAAAAAATTACGATAACATAGATATAGAAACCGGAAAGTTTCAACATCTATGCTCAATAATGAATGACGTCACAGTCTGCAATAATAATCATGAAAAACTTCGAAACAAAGAAACGACAATGAAGAAAAGTACAATGAAATAAAATCCACAATGATGTAAACTTTTATTGACCGAAAAAGGTAAACTAGTGATGAATTAGTAATCCGGCAGAGCAGTCTCATGCCACGTGATAAAATACTGACCAATCACGATTCGGCCGTCGTATATATATATATATATATATATATATATTACATATATACATACATATATATACAAATATATAAACGAATAATTTCTTTATACTGTCAATGCATTTTGAATTAATTTGATCGTGTATGTAAGTACAATGACGATAAAAGCATTTTTGTTGCAATGACTAAAGACCGAGAGTATGTAACTAATGAGAGTAATAATAAATAAATAAATAAATTATAATAAATAATAATAAATTAATAATGATGATGACGACGATGTTGATTGTAGGATTGTTATGCTTATTGCAAACGTTTGAGTCGTAGCACACACTGGTGGTAGTAGTAGCAGCAGAGCAGGGAGACAGTACAACAATAATACTAGTGTAGTAGTGACGGTGATAATGATGGCTGGAAAAAAAATGGCACACCTCCAATGAAAATAATTAATAATGATTTACAACAGTAAAAATTATAAAAGTGAAAATAATAATAATACAGATAATAATAAAATATAATTAAATTTAATTTCCTTCTTCACCAAATAGAGACAGTTGCCAGAGGAAAAATTTCTACATGCAACAACCAATAAGAAACAGAGACATACTAATCCAAATATAATCTTCGCCATGTATTGACTCTGAAAACACACACACACACAAATAGACACACACACACAAATAGACACACACACACAAATAGACACACACACACAAATAGACACACACACACACAAATAGACACACACACACAAAGACACACACACACAAACATACAAAATTAGTCTATAGTAGCGTAATAATATTGCATTATATACATACATAATAAACTTGTCACACACACACACACACACACACACACACACACATATATATATATATGCTGGTAAAAGACCATAATTAATGCAATAATTTATTAAATCTACCGAATTTCTAGCGTTGGATATATTTTTTATTACATTTATAACTATTAAAGTTAGAATAATATACAGTTTCCCAATTCATTCTCGAGTGCATAGGGCCTGCTTCGATTCTTAGATCATCTTCAGCACTTGCCGCAGTTTGCAATGAATGCAAATCACAGGAACAGAGGCCTAGGTCATACAAATCCCCTATATGAACTGCAACAAGTGCCGGGTTGTACAAATTCACTATACATACTTTAATAAAATAAATAAGAATTTGAATTAGAATTTGGTTAGAAATATTGAGAAATGTAATGAAAAACTACCCAACGCTAGAATGTCGGTAGATTTCGTAAATTACTGCATATATATATATATACAAAACTGAACTGTTAAAAAAGTATTTTTATTTATTTAACTCAACACGATACTATATATATATATATATACACACACAAATATATATGATTATTATTATACTTATACATATTCCAAGCCCAAGTGTGAATGAGAAGTACATATCTAAAGATCGCAGCAACGCATACTAGCAGCTTCATTATTATGGATGTAATGTAACTTGACTATAAAAGTCAAAAAATAAATATGAGAATAATAAAAATATTAATTATTACCGTAATTATTTGTAATATTATTATTATTTGTAATAATAATATTATTATTTGTAATATTATAATTATTTATATTATTATTACTATAATTACGAAACGATGCGACCGGATGACAACCTGAGTTAAGATTATTTTCCAAGTCAAGACCGTAAACCAGCATACATAAAATAAAATGAAGAGAGCATTAATAATTATAATATAATACTAGAGAGAGAAAGGAGAGAGAGAGAGAGAAAGAGAGTGACAGGAGAGAGAGAGAGAGAGAGAGAGAGAGAGAGAGAGAGAGAGATAACCATAAAGTGTATGCATAAAACATAATAATATGAAACGCACTTACAAACAACAACGTTGCCAGTGAAACATAGGAAACGACTAATTATAACATAACTAATGAGTGAATGAATAGTCCAAACACGCACGCACGCACAAACACACGCACACACACACACACAAACACACGTACACACACATATTTATATATATTGATTATAAGTTAGCAATTCATCTATTTACAAGTGTTCGCTATTAAAACGACATTTTCATGTTAACATTAATTTCAATTTTGTCTCTGTACATTAATAATAACGTATAAACGAATAGATAATAATAATAATAATTAGTGATAATAAAAAACATTAATTATTATAAATTAAAATAACAAAAAAGAGAGTACAGTATTGTGTTGATCAGCATGTCACTTCCTACAAAACCGATCAATCAATCAATCAATCAATCAATCAATCAATCAATCAATCAATCAATCAATCAATCAATCAATCAATCAATCAATCAATCAATCAATCAATCAATCAATCAATCAATCAATCAACCAATCAACGAACGAACGAACGAATGAAAGAAACGGCAACACACAAAAAGAATTAGTATGGCCTTGAAGGGTCGCCTGCATCGGCCCCGAACCCCCCACTGATACTACTACTACTAGTACTGCTGCTGACACTAGCGCTGCTGCTACTGCTACTACTGGCGCTTCCGGCAAGTGACGCCATAACTATGCCGCTACCTCGTCCGCCCAGACCGCTGTCGACGCCATTGCAGGCGATGTCCTCATTCTCCATGGCGCACTCAAGAGTCGGCGAATCAGCGCGAGATTTCGGACCCCAGATTCTGACGGTGTTGTCGTCTGAGGCGCTCGCCAGCATTGAGGGTATCTGTGGGTTCCAGTGGACGCAGTTGACCGTGCCGTTGTGGCCCTCCAAGGTCGTCAGGGGCAGTTCGTTGTTCACGTGCCATATGTAGATCTTCTGGTCTGTCGTTGGTTGGTTGGTTCATTTTTTTTAATTTTGCTCCGTTTGTTTAGTGATGTAGTGAGCAATAAAATTGGTAATGGTACTGAGAACAATAAAAAAAAATGATTACAACTCTAATAATAGCGAAAGAAGTATAAGAGGTGGCCAGCACCTTCGCTTCCGCTCGCAATGAAGTCTTCATTGAGGCCACCGAATGTCGAATGGACAGTGAAGAAGCCCTGCGTTGGTCCCCTGTACCTCCTGCAAGATGACGTCATCGTCAGCCTCATCATCATCCTCATCATCATCATCATCAACAACAACAACAGCCATCCATCTCTATCTTAATCATCATGATAGACAGATAAAAAGTTAATAGTAAAATACTGGCTAGCCAAACGTCAGACTAGACAAAATATTTATAGGTAGTAGTAAGCGAAGTTATGTATAAAAGTGGAGGACCTAATTAGAGTCTTACAGCCCATGTCCCACATATTTATGCCCTGATTGGCCACATTCAAGATGATTCTGTCTGCCTTCGAACTCAGGGTGAATGATATTATAGAGCCATCCTCTTGAAAACTGCAGAGGAGATGAAATATTTGTTTAACATCACTTCAAAAGGTGGAGTGAATAAAAAATTATAAATATAAGCAAATATAATGAAAGAATGCAGCAGTCTACCGGACACACTTTCATACGTCAATTTCAGAACATGAACTACATGATAGATATCAAAGAGCCTAGAAGCGCTAACAGATTATTATCAATATGATCCTCAAAATTGTAGCTCCGAATTCGGTTGTGGGTGTCTGCAGCGATGACAGTCTGGTTGTCTGGTAGGCAGGCTAGGTGTTGCACTCTTATGAAGTCCCACATGGAGTTTAAGTGGCCGTCTGTGTTCTGTTTGTTTGTCGTGTTTGTCGGTTGAATGTGTTTGTCGTGTTTGTCGGTTGAATGTGCTCTGAGTCGTTCAAATGCGTTGTTTGATGTATCGTTTTGTTGCCATCATCATCATCATCATCACCATCAACTAACACAAGAGTAGAAGTGGCCCTTCAGCCCCCCGCAGACGACCTTGGTACCGTCGGCGTACCAGCTGGCAGTGGTCAGCAAGTCTTCCGACGACTGATTCAATTTTGATTTCAACTCACCTGTCTGAATGGATGAGCAATTTAAGAATTGAGGGAGAGAGAAAGAGAGAGAGAGAGAGAGAGAAATAGTGAGAAAGGAAGAGAGAGAAGTGGAAAAAAAGTAAGAAAGAGAATTTATAAAATGGGAACGAATGACCGACTGAACAATTGTGAAAGAGAAAAAATGGCGGAAATAAAAAAAAAACTGACCATGACATTCCATATAGAGAGGTCGCAGCCATCTTCCGAGCCACAGACAGCCAGGTGGGTGGAGTCAGGGCTCCAAGCTAAATACGTTACCCCATTCATTGGACCATTCAATGTTTTCTTTAATGTAAGGCGGAAAGTTTTCTAGAAACGACGACGACGATGATGATGATAGTGACGATGAAGACGAGAAATAAAGTGATGATGAGGAAGAAGATGATGAAACATACAACCGATCAATCCAACAAAATATCAAAAAATTTAACAATTAAATTCCCCAAACAATCAATCAATCAATCAATCAACCAATCAATCAATCAACCAATCAGCCAACTAACCTCATCGACGTCATAGATGATGAAATGTGAGTCCTTCAAACCGGTTGCCAGCATTTTCCCATTAGGGGAAAATTTACAGAACAAAACCTCGTCAGTGCCATCAGCCAAGATTTGCGTCGTGCAAGTTGGAAAGTCATCTCTATACACGTGTGTGTGTGTGTGTGTTAGTGTGTGTGTGTATGTGTTAGTGTGTGTACGTGCGTGTACGTACGTGAGAGAGAGTGCGTGTGTGTGATGTTGACTTACACACATACCAAAAACCAAAAAATTTGTAGTGATGGTAGGCAATTTAAAACGACAACAACAACAACAACAACGACGACGACAATTATAGTAGTGATGATAATAATAATAACAACAATTAGGAATGGGATGGATTTATAAACAACTACAACAAAAATTATAATGAGAATGAGGATGAAGAAGAAGAAGAAGGAGATGAGGAGGAGAAGGAAGAGGAGGAAGAATACAAACCTGGAGCACATGTGGTCAGTTAGGAGGGACAGACTGTGGAGTGGATCAGACATTTGTGTGTTGTGATACTGGCATTTGGACACCTAGCATCATCATCATCATCACCATCATCATTACTACAATCATCATCATTATTACTATCATTATCATCATCATCACCATCATCATTACTACAATCATCATCATTATTACTATCGTCGTCGTCGTCATCACAATCGTAAATGGCAACCGACCTGATATTCAAGTGATTGACTCAGTAGTGTCAACAATCTCTGAGGCGGAACCATGATTGATGAAGGAAGGAAGGCTGGATGGACGAACAAATGAATGAATGAATGAACGAACAAATGACTGAATGAACGAACAAATGAATGAATGAACGAATGAATGAATGAACGAACAAACTATTACACAGCGAATCTTATAGCGAAGATTCGACCTATTAAAATATATCAATAAACTACAAATACATTCCCAGGCACACAGATTCACACACACACATATAAATACACACCTATAAGTACACATACATACACAAACACACACACGCAAACACACACATACACACGTATGCATACAAACATTAAAACATACAAACCTTGCAACGAGTCGAGTAGGGTGGACCTTGACAGAGATCCCTTACCGGGCCACTTCGACATACGACGGAGATCATCTGAAGAACTGCACATCAGATATCTAGCAATTTACAGTTTGTGTGTGTGTGTGTATATTGTTATGAATAAATGAATGAATGAATAAATGAATGAATAAATGAATGAACGATTGAACGAATGAATGAATGAATGAATGGTGAACATACGAGCTTAGCTTGTGAACATAGTCAGTCTTGAATTTGAGCGGAGTCACCTGTGTTCTCAGGATGTCAAGAGCATTGTGAAGGTCACCTACGACGTCATCATCATCGTTATCAACATCATCATCATCATCATCATTTTCATCATCAGCAGCAACAACAACATAGCCCTCATTAACATCATCAAAGACAGACAGTAGCAGCGTCACCTACGACAACATCTTCTTCATCACCACCACCATCATCATCATCATCATCGCCATCATCGTAAAGAAACAACACATCGTCATCTTCATCACCGTCAACAACAACTCAACAACAGCATCATCATCATCATCAAAACACAGACAACAACGTAATCATCTCACTCAATGATGATGATGATGCTTATAAAAATAATAATGATGACGATGATAATGATGATGTTAATGACGACGATGATGATAATGATGATCATCACCTGACTCCAACACCTCCATATACTTCTGTTCAAACAGGAGAAATTTCATTTTCTGTTAACATAAAATGATTGATTGATTGATTGATTGATTGAGGCCATTATAAAAAGAAGAATGATTGAGTGGACAAAGAAATGAACAAAAAAATTAACAAAGGAATGAATGCATAATTAAATGAAATGAAACCACAGGTGAAATGAGAAGAATGTTTAAGAGATGATGAATAAATGGTTGACTGATTGATTGAATGAATTTATGAATGAAGAAATGAGTGAACAAACGAACGAACGAACGCACGAATGAATGAATGAACGAACGAAAAAATGAACGAATGAAAACATCAACAGCATAAACAAACAAACAAACAAGCAAACATACTGTAAGATCTAAGGACGAGATGTTGTAGACCAGTTGTAAATTATCCAAATCTGCTTCAGCCTAAGAAATTAAAATAAAATAACAACAATAATAAATAATAATAATAATATTAATAAATATTATAACAATCATATAATACAAGGGACGACATCATCCAAACACCAACATGAACATTCTTAACTTAGATGCACTTAAATAATAAGAATACTATTAAAATGATATAAATAAAACAGCTATAATTATTAATAATTATAGTCATAATAATAATAATATTATTATTATTATATCCTTACCAAATCCCACATTCCCTCCAGAACATGTGTCCTTAATTTGGATGCATTTGGATCTTCCAGTATACAACTGGACTCACAAGCTAGCTGGTTGAATGTATGGCTGTGAGGAAGAATATTATGTCGAATTATGAATAACAATTATAGTAATAATTACTACTAATTATAATATTTTAAAGTAATAATAATAATAAATAGTGAACTGACACTGATTTTTGTTATGTTTCTTATTTTACTAGTTTTTTGAAATCTCAAATTACAAGTCTAGATAACTGAGAAGTGAGTTTATTTTATTAAGGGAAAGGAGATAAAGATATGTGCGTGTATGTATGTGTGTTTGTTTGCATGCGTGCGTGTGTGTGTGTGTGTGTGCATGCCAAAATTGACTTCCAAACAGTCTTGCATAAATATAAGCAGTCTAACCAAAAATATTGTTTCAATAAAAATTGTATCTTAAATGAGTATCATTTATGTTTAAACACATTTATGTAATGTATACTACTATAATGTATAATTAACCAACTACTATACTGTATGCATACATGTATGTATGTAAGTGTGTATGTATGGATGTATGTTTGTATGTATGTATGGATCTATGTATGTGTTCTTGCTTATATGTGTACATATAACACATGTATACATGTTTAAATTCAGGCAGGCATAAGTGTATGTCTACCTGAATCTTTGGGAATAATATTAAAATTGTTAGTAATAGAATATTTGAATAGTGATCAGACTGGTAAAAGTGATTAGTGGTCAGAAGCACTAATAACAGCTGTAGTAGTAGCTTCAGTAATAAGTAGCAGTAGCACTAGCAAGCAGTAGTAGCATTACATTTAAAAAATTATAGCAGAAATTATAAAGGATCCTAAATGGAGAATAGAAATCTGTAAAAATGAATAACACAGACGAGATGGTCGGCAATTTCTATCTTGGCTCACTGGATTTTTAAAAATCTTTTGTAATCTACACTTTTTAATTTGAATTAAAATTACAAATTAATATTCATCTTTAAAACAAATTCATAATTTTTATAAACAAATTCAAAATTATGATTATAATATATTTAAATTATATTATAAATTAACTAAACACGAACTTGAAACCCAGGTATCTCAGGTGCTGCCCGATTATTCGAATTATTTCGATATCAGTGTTTGAAAGGACTTTTTGAGGGGTAGGCTCAACATTACCATTACCATTCATATTCAAAGATGGAGACGTACTAACTGATTTACTGTTTTTGTAGCAGGCCAGTCCATACGAGTGGCCGTGGTTGGGTAATGGAGAACCGACGGCTGATTTATTTACGGCCGAATTTGTTGTGGAGAGCTGTTCTGTGGCACATTCACCCTCGTCAATCATCATTCCGTCATCCATCATGGTCGAGTGTCTTTTGCAACTCCCTCTGGCGGCTGTCATCTGATTTGAAACAAATTAATTCTCTTCTCGATACTTCAATGACTGTTTCCCGAAGACTCAGTTAGGCAACTTTAATTAACGAACGTTTGTTTTACTGATAGTTAGCTTAGCAGCTGAAATTAATTATAAAATGGATGGAGAGCGAATTCAGTTTACGCACGAATTTAACTGCTTACGACGTTTTAAAAATAAATTTTTCACCTGGAAAATGTTCATGAACGAGTGTCAAAAATATTAAATGTAATTTCGTCCGGAGAATTAAAGTTAAAAATTGAAAATTTGACAGAAAATCGCATCACCCATTGTTGTTTGAGGTATATTTTCACGTTATGATAGATAAACCAACACTGGTTCTCAGTTAGCTAGCGGCCTTGACTTTTAAATTTTCAGTACTAATTACCTCAGAATTTAATCAAATAAATAACTAATTTAATCAAAAGCACTTTTAAATTACTTATTTTATTATTAATAATAGCTGCAAAAGTATATAAAAGCGTTATTTTAACATTCTAAATGGCTTTTTTAGCTAAATAGTTAAATAAGGCGAATCAATGATGCTCTACTTATGCTTTCAAAACTACCTAAAACACTATTTTTAAACGAATTTGAGCGTAAAAATAAATAATGACGATAATTCGGACATTAATTTAAGGAAAAAATTTACCAAATTAAGTAAATTAGTGACAGATTATGTCAATAATTTCTTGAACAACGGCACAGCTGATTTCATTTAATCTATTAATAGCATATACTCCATTGTTAGGGATGGACTGTTGGCAATACGAAAAATTTTTCCACAAAAATCACATTTGAAGCGAATATTTTCAAAAAATTCGATAATTTCGCTTATAAACATATTTTTTAATTCCTAATATACACTATATATGTAGAATGCTGTACATTTAATTACTTACATGAGTATTAAACGAATCAATTACAAACATTAGGTTCATACTGTATTAGATTCTACTGCACACAATGGATATATCCATGTTCCATATGTAATGAAGCACCTAATATTAAACACATCCTCACAAAAGATTTTCAAACGTTTCAGAGGCAACAACAACCTCAACAACTACAATCTCAACAACTACAATCTCAACAACTACAATCTCAATAACTACAACCTCAACAACTACAACCTTAACAACTACAATCTTAACAACTACAATCTCTCATCAAAAAACTAATTCGCCCCAACTATCTACCTGCCTTAAGTCAACACACTCCATTCAAGACCGTTATATAGAGTTATATAAGGTTATATAGAGTTATAGATGGTTATATAGAGTTATATAGAGTTATATATCATTATATAAAGTTGTATTGAGTTATATAGGATTATATAGATTTAAATATAGTTACATAGGATTATATAAAGTTATATAAAATTATATAGAGTTGTATAGAGTTATATAAAGTTGTGTAGGATTATATAGAGTCATATAGGGTTATATAGAGTTATATATAGTTTTATAGAAAATAACAACCTCGTCATCCATCCTCTACTAACAACCAACCAAAACTACTACACACAACTTTCGTCAGGGCATGCACAACTACCGAGTAGCCACTCAATCAACATTCCAGGCTAAGACCTTCATCCCAGGACACCTCAAATAAATCAGCACTAATGAAACCTTATATCATTTACTCTATTTCGTTATCCTTCCTCCTATCGGTCACTTTACTAACCTACAAAATCATAAACTAGTATATTAATAAATTATTTTATTTATCTGTCTTTTAAACCATTAATTTTATATTTTATGCTTTAAATATTTTATATATTTTATGTATTTTAAACATTTTTCACCGTTATTTTTTTGTTATTATATATTATATGTTATTATATATTATTTATGTTATTATATATTATTATTGCCTTGCACATAGCTTCTGGGTCTGTCAGATTTTGAGTTTTTTAAAGAATAATTAAAAAAGTTATTATGTTGATTTATTTGCAAACGTAATGTTGGTTTACTCTTCATGTTATTGATTATATAGCAGAATAAAACGCTATATAAATAGGTTTTTTTATCTTAATTATATTGTATACAAACAGATAAACATTGTTTCAAGCTTTCTGCATAAAAGTTTCAATTATTCTTCGTCTATTAAAGTTCAAAAGTCATTTATTATAAATAAAATTAACGATCACAATGCCACAGTGTAACAATATTAATAATAGCAATAACAAAAATAACAATAAATATAATAATAACAAATATAAATGGTAATAATAATTGAATATTATCACATTGTATAATATAATCTAAAATGTTGTGGAGCGACTTACAATTGGATCGTTGGTTAGTAATATTTTACATACATACATACATACATACATACATACATACATACATACATACATACATACATACATACATACATACATACATACATACATACATACATACATACATACATACATACATACATACATACATACATACATACATACATACATACATACATACATACATACATACATACATACATACATACATACAAAGCACGCGCAAACTACAGACACCTACATGGAGCGTTGGTTACCTTTCCTACTCGAGAATCTTTAAATCGATAATGCTATGAACGAGGGGACGAATGAATGAACAAAAGAACGAATGAATGAACGAACGAACGAATGAATGAATGAACGAACGAACGAATGAATGAACGAACGAACGGATGAATGAATGAATTCATCATCATAATCGTCGCCATCTTCTCATAATTAACAATCATCATGAATAATACCGATGATCACATCTGTTATAACGTTTGCCTCTTGCAATCAATTTTTTGATCTTGCTATAGTTGTTGTGGTTGATGTTTTTTGTTTTTGTTGTTGCTGCTGTTGCTTTTGTTGGTGCTGTTATTGCTATTGTTATTGTTGATGTTATTGTTGTTGTTGCTGTTGTTGTTATTGCTATTGTTGTTGTTGATGTTATAGTTGTTGTTGTAGTGTTGCATCGTTATTGATGGCGTTTATCTTATGAGTATCTTGCAATTTATGTGCATAGCGAAATTTTTTTTTTTTAAATTCGCAAAAAAAGTGTGTCAAGTTTCACGCACAAAAACCTACACGAACGCACACACAATAGCACGCACGCACACACAGAGACACAGACAGACAAACAGAAAGACACGCACGCACACAGACACACGTGCATACATACATACATACATACATACACTCAGAACCAGCAACAAACGATACGACGAGCCGACGACATCCAAGCTTTTTCATTATGTTACCTTTCAAGCACCACGACTCTCCTGCTTGTATGTTCGTAGGTGTGTTTGTATGTTTGTATACTTGTGTGTAGGTCTGTTGTGTGTGTTTGTTTGTATGTATGCTTAATGGTATTAATATAATTATATGTTTGTATGCATGTTTGTATACTCCTTGTATGTTTTTTCGCTTTTGTTTGTGCATCCTGGTGTATATATAAAGATTTTTGCGTAGACCTGACTTCCGTGCGTGCGTGCGTATGTACGCAAACAAATGTGTGCACTGCGTAACTTGTGCATTTGTTGGCACCGTTCACAATTAATGAATTTGTATGTCGGAAACAAACAACGACACATGCAGACGACATCCAACACAACAACACAGAAAACAACAACAACACACACACACGTACACACACATCTGCACGCACAACACACACGTAAACACGCACACACAACAACGCAAACGCGCAATTCTTGCATCAACCAACCTACCTACCTACCTACCTGCCTCTGAATGAAGCGATGCAAGGCTACAAATATACAATGCTCCATACAAAATATACAATGCTTCATACAAAATATACAATGCTTCATACAAAATATACATTGCTCCATACAAAATATACAATGCTTCATACAAAATATACAATGCTTCATACAAAATATACAATGCTCCATACAAAATATACAATGCTTCATACAAAATATACAATGCTTCATACAAAATATACAATGCTTCATACAAAATATACAATGCTCCATACAAAATATACACTGCTCCATACAAATGCGGGATGCAATATACAATAATGTATATACAATATTGTATATACAATATTGTACATATTAATATTTGCCACATATCAATTTTCTCTATATGTGTTTTATGACTGTTGGTCAGAAGTTTCTATAATGTGTAAAAGTTTTATCAATCAAACAATCAATCATTCATCAAACCAACCAACCAGCCAACCAACCAACCAACCAACCAACCAACCAACCAACCAACCAACCAACCAACCAACCAACCAGCCAACTAACCAGCCAACCAAACAACCAGCCAATCAATCGGCCATTCAAGCTCAAGTTAGAGCAGACCAATCATTAATTTTAATTTAACTCTTTCCGAATACATTTTACGTCATTCTGATGTCACTTACTTACGTATACAGATACCACATGTACGTCGGTGTATAAGTATCCTTGTATCTCTCTCTTTCTCTCTCTCTCTCTCTCTTCCTCGCTTTCTCTATTTATTTTTGTATATATATATATATATATATATATACACATATACATTCTATTTTCTCTTGCCTATATATATATATATATATATATATTGTTCTTATATTATATATATATATATATGCCACGTTCTAAAATATAGGCAAATGTTTAGAGATATATAATCGATATATTCAAATCTATATATACTTACACTATATATATATATATATATATATATATATTTGTATATATATCTGTATATATAAATGTACGTATGTATCCATGTATGTATACACATATCATAGTATTTAACAAATGCATTGGAGCTTACTTTGGGATATAACATCATCCAACGGAATGATATCAATAAATTATGATACTAAAAGATACATAATAAAATACTTGAATGAATAAATAAATATATATTATTATGTTTATATATTATGATAATTATAATATAATAATATAATATTTATTAAATTATGAATAAGTTACTCGTTGAAGAACTTTCTTGGAAGGCGATTTATCTATCACTTGCATTATTTTTTAGGCTTATATTATTTAAATAAATACATAATTATTACTATCAGATAATTATAAACAAATAAATAATAAATATATATAATAATATATTGCCTTTTTTATTATATATCATATATATATATTTATTTATATATACATATATATATTTATATCTATAGAAGGTTTCATTTTAATAAAAACATCATCATAATTTTTACTCATCACTTGTGTCTGCAAAGATCATCATCATCGTCGTCGTCGTCTTCATCATCGTCGTCGTCTTCATCATCATTGTCATCATCAGCAGTTGCAATCCTATCGATTTTCCGTTTTCAAAAATTTAACGTACCTACTAAAAAAAATTGAAAGAAATTCAAAAATATTTATAAAAAGTTCAGTTATTATTATTACTATTATTATTATTATTATTACTACTATTATTGTTATTATTATCATCATCATCACATTGGTGATGATGGAAGATATGATTGGAGAATCTTTAAATCATAACAGAGCCCGCGCTCCTAATATTTATTAAAAATTGATAATATAAATAATAATTTAATAATAATAATAATAATAAAGAAGAAGAAGATTAAAGTAACATTAATAATAATAATAATTTGGCGCCATATGGACTAACGCATTTATATGCTCTTTCTAGATAGAAAAATAAACACACGAAAAACACACACTCTCACACACATACATAAATACATACATACATACATACATACAAACATACATACATACATAAATACACACATACATAAATACATACATACATACATACAAACATGCATACATAAATACATACATACATACATACACACATACATAAATACATACACACATACATAAATACATACATACATAAATACAAACATACAAACATACATACATACATACATACATAAATACATACATACAAACGTACGTACGTACGTACGTACATATATACATACATACATACATACATACATACAAAATACATTTTACGAAGGAAATTAATCATTATTGGTCAATAACATCATTGCCAAACAAAAATTTTCATCTATTTCATTTTAACCTTTTTTGTTAAATTGTTTGTTTTTAATCACTTCAATCTAACAATCTATCAATTAATCTATTAAACTTATGAGGCACTTTGTATCATTTATATAGCGCCGTCATTTTTATTTTGACAGATCATGTCTTATTGAAATTAATCCAACCAAACGATTATGTAATTGATAATCTAAAATCAATGTGAATTAGTGAACACACGTGAAGTTGAACTAACTTTTAAAAACAACAACAACATCAACAGCAAACAACAATAATAATAGATAACAGCAACGACAACAACAGTAACAACAATGGTAATAATTTTCAAATATGCATTCCAACACGAAATAAGAGAAGACGTTAAAATAATGAGATAAAAACTACAAAAACATTAACAACATTAACATCAAAGACATCAACAAAGACATCAACAAAGACATCAACAAAGACATAGACGACAGCAACAACAACAACAACAAGATGGATCCAACAACACCTCGCTTCCAACCAGAGCAAACACCGTCTTCCCCATTGTTACAGCACAACAACAACAACAAATATCACAACAACAACAACCCATTTACGTCATCATCGTCTACAGAAGCTACACAACAACTACAACAACAGCCACCAAGACCACCACCTCCAAATACAACAACAACAACAACAACACCACAACAGCAACAACAAAACGAACAACGACAACCA